AACCACTACACCACTGGCTCAAAGGTTGCTATACTAATGTCATTAAAAGGAAAAAGAATAGATTTCATCATAAGGAGGCTGGCTAATGCATTGCAGATGGCCAGAGATAGCCTTTCATTCTTGGATAGGGGTGCTGGAGTAAAATTGGAGAGCCCTTCTGTACCTTTAATGATTTTGTACTCTAAAGGCACCAGTTTCTGTCTGATCTCGGAAGCTAAGCAGGGTCAGCCCTGGTTAGGACTTGGATGGGAGACCACCTAGGAATCCCAGGTGCTGGAGGCCCCATTTCAGAGGAAGAAATGGGTTAAACCACCTCTGGGTCCTCCTTGCCTATGAAAACCCTCTGAAATTCATGGGGTTAACATAAGTCACTGGGTGACTTGAAGGCACAAGACACAAGGCATGAGATCTATTCTGATCTTGGAAGCTAAGCAGGGTCGGCCCTGGTTAGGAATTGGATGGTAAACCACCAGGAAATCCCAGCTGTTGGAGGCCCTATTTTAGAGGAAGAAATGGGCAAAATGACCTCTGGATATTCCTTGCCTAAGAAAACCATCTGAAATCAATGGGTGACTTGAAGGCACATACATAGAAATAACTAAATACCTTAAAGGCATCCGATCCCATCTGATCTTGGAAGCTAAACAAGGTCAGTCCAGGTTAGTCCTTGGATGGGGGACCACCAGTAAATGTCAGGCGGTGCAGACTGTATTTTAGAGGAAGGAACTGGCAAAAGGCACATCTGAGAATTCCTAGCCTACCAAAATCATGAGGTTGACAGGCAGCTTGAAGGCACATATACACAAGGCACTCATTTTGGAAGCTAAGCAGGGTCAGCCTTGGTTAGTCCTTGGAAGAGAGACCGCCAATGGATATCAGGTGCCATAGGCTCTATTTCAGAGGAAGGAACTGGCAAAACCACCTCTGAGTCTTCCTCGCCTAAGAAACCCTGAAAAATCCATAGGGTTGCCATAAGTCGACAGACAACTTGTAGTGGTGTAATAGTTTGAGTGTTGGACTAGGACTCCAGGAGACCAAGATTTGAATCTCAGCTCAGCCATGGAAACCCCCTGGATGACCTTGGGCAAGTCACACTCTCTGAGCCACCGAGGAAGGTGAGGGGGAAAAAATGCGTGCAAAAAAAGTGCATGTACACACACGGACAGAAGAGAGAATTTGAGCCAAGGTGGCTGGCCACACAACCAGGAGACAACAAGCAATCCCAGCTGAAATTCCCTCTTTGACACAACCCTTAAAAGGCACAGGAGCCCTCTCCACTTTTCAATCTGGCAACCCTAGGCCTCCTAAATCATACGGCGCAGCCTCTGTTTTTTGCAGCCGACAATTCAGACGACAACTGGGCTGCGCTTGTGGCCTCACACCCGTCTTGTCACAAGAGAGGACGGCTGCCTAGCCTCCCCTCCATGCCCCTAGCCACACATACACCCCCTCCTTGTCGTTTCACCTTGCCAAAGACTCGGCGGCGCTCTGTTCCCGTTCCACTGCGACAACCTGTCCTGCACGAAAAGCCAAACACAGCAGAATTTCAGGTGAAAGCGATGTCAGGCTCACAGAGCGGCCCTTTGGAGGGGAGAAACCCCAAGGGATAGGCATGGCAGGGGGCCATGGGGGGGAAAGAGACCTTCTTATGGCGCTACTACGTGACCCCCATATCCATTCCCAGGCTTATCGTGGTGAGTGAGAATTGCAGATAATAGCGAATCCGACATTTCCAGCAGAATTTCACCATAGAGTTGCACCGGAGAACTTCCAGATACTAGAGTGGTGTTCTTTCTAGGTATCTGGATATCCTCCAGTGCAACTCTATGGCCAATGCCCACCTGACATTGACCATAGAGTCACTCTGGAGGAGATAGAAATGCCTAGAGAGACCATACCACACTGGAGGAACTCCAGATACCCAGAGTGGTGTTCTTTCTAGGTGCCTGGATGTCTTTCAGTGCAACTCTATGGTCAATGCACATCTGAAGTTGATCATAGAGTCATGCCTAGAGAGACCATACCACACTGGAGGACCTCCAGATACCCAAAGTGATGTTCTTCTAGGCACCTGGATGTCCTCCAGTGCAACTCTATGCTCAATGCCCACCTGACATTGACCATATAGAGTCACGCTGGATGAGATAGAAATGTCTAGAGAGACCACACCACACTGGAGGACCTCCAGATACCTAGAGTAGTGTTCTTTCTAGGCGCCTGGATGTCTTCCAGTGCTACTCTATGGTGAACATCCGCTTGAAGTTGACCATAGAGTCATGCTGGAGGACATAGAAATGCCTAGAGAGACCATACTTTTTCAGAGGTGGGTAAGTGAAATCACGGGTACCAGTCCCACAGATATGGGGGTCGTACTATATTTCTAGGGAGAGGCTGAGGTGCCCAGAGCCTTCCGTGTCAGTAGGTTTTAGCCTGACCTTTAGGAGAAATCTCCACGCTGCTCAGCTTATTTGGGGGGACAGGGCTGAATCTTGGAGTGGACTCACTGGCCCTGACATGGAAGCCACTAGTCCCAAGAGGCCACCGAAAACTCCTGGTCCTGCCAACTACAGGACTCTGGCCAGGGCTCAGCTCCCACTGCCCACTGGGTATGAAAAGTAGACTAAAAGGGATCTTGTAGCACCTTTGAGACTGATGGAAAGAAAAGAAAGAAAGAAAGAAAGAAAGAAAGAAAGAAAGAAAGAAAGAAAGAAGTTGGGAGGTGAGCTTTCCTAAACTTGAGCCTACTTCTCTATGCATTTGAAGAAGTAGGCTCAAGTCCACAAAAGCTCATGCTACCAACTTCTTTCTTTCCATTAGTCTCAAAGGTGCTACAAGATCCCTTTAATTCTACTTTTAATATATACTTTTTAACCTGATTTTTTAAAAAATGATTTTAAGTGTTCAAAGTTTGCTTGGCAGTAGAAAAGAACCAGGATATCAATAAATATCATCATCATCATCATCATCACCACCATCATCAACAACCATGAAGCCATTTGAGAGGGGCAAAGATCAGCACCTTGGACAGCTCCCATAAAGCCCCATCTAAAACTTGCAATGAATTCACCAGTCCCACTGACATGGAAACCACCAGTCACTACTGGTTTGTACTGGAGAGTGGGCTGGATGAGGTTGGAGCTTATCTCTCTGTCATAGGCAGGGCATCAGCTGCAATTCAATGCAACTGCAGGAAATGGAAATTCACCCATCCATCCTTTTTGCAGAATCCTGCATCTCCAATAGGGAGGGAAAGAATATTCAAAAATATTTGGGAAATGCTCAGAAAGTGGGTTTCTTGAGTGTAGGGAAATTGGAATGAGGAGAATCCTGGACAGGTGAGAATCTTCACCTATCTGGACTTATTTTGCATGGAAAAGGCACGAGGTTTTTATGTGTTTGCGGAACATTGCATTTTCTTGGCAGAAAGCAAGTTTCCCTGCACAGAAAACATAATATTCTGCACAGAAAATAACATATTGTGCATATTCTTTGCAGAAAGTAAGATTTGTGTGCAGAAAATACTGTGTATATTCTGTCCAGAAAATAAGATGTATGTGCAAAAAATACTGTTTTCTGTGCCTGTTCTGTGCATATAATAAATGGATGTTGCTATTTAATTGTTGTAATTGTTCTTTGCTTTAATTGACTTTTACTTTTATTATTTTACCTTTTATTATCTTATCTTTTGTTTTGTATTTTTAGATTGTACGCCTTTGGCAGGTTTTTATTCTATTTTATGCTTTGATTGTCTCTTTGTACAGCGCTGTGTACATTGACAGCGCTTTAGAAATAAACTTTAATAATAATAATAATAATAATAACAACAACAGAAAGTACTGTTTTCTGTGCATATTTCTATGCAGAAAATAAGATTTATGAGCAGAAAATACAGAAAAGACATTTTGTGTCTCAATATTTGCACTAAAATGTGTGACGCAAGGCCAGAAAGTCATTTTTGTTCTTGACAATATGTTCTGTCTACTTGGTTTTTATGAAGTAAATTGCATTTATTACACACTGTAAGCCACTTAGAGAGTGCTTTGTTTGCCATGAAGCAGTACAGAAATATAAAGTGCTAAAAGTGCCATTGCTTTATTTTGTGCAGAAAATAAGATTTATGTGCAGAGAGTACTATTTTCTGGGCAGGAAACTTTTTTTTTTCCCCAACAAAAACCATGCAATTTTTCCCGATTTCTGAATATTCACATCTGGCTGTTTTTCCTAAACTGTGAAGCTTCTTGCCTGAAGTTTTCAACCACTTATTTGTTGTTGTTCTTTCAGCATATTAGGATATTATTTTAGTATTTTAGCATTTTATAGCGCAGTGTTTTATTGTTAGTTTTTTATTGCATATGTTCTGATGTACCTTCCTTTGGTGGAAAGGACATTATTTATAAATTAATTATTATTATTATTATTATTATTATTATTATTATTATTATTGACTTTCTCACAATGAGGAGAAAAGTGGGGAGATTATTCCTTGTCTCCCGCCCCCAAGAGAACAAAATTAACATCCCTAATCCCCAACATATCAGATTGCGTTCTGTCTTTGTCGCAAGATTTCCAGGATTTTCTGGCTGCAAAACCCTGGCCTGACAGCATGTGGATTATGGGTTCTACAGTTGGAGGGGGAAAAGGTTTTCAGAAACAGTGGCGAGGGGAGTTTCTGCCTGAGTGGTCTCTGTCCCCTTCCTATAAATGGAGCTGGTGATCAATCCCATCATCCCCAATACAGACTGGTAGGATGCAACCAGCACACACAAGCAACTGAAGTTTTTGAATAATGGTTGTTGCTGTTGTATGCCTTGAAGTCATTTCTGATATATGGCAATCCTATCACAGGGTTTTCTTGTCATGTTTCTTCAGAGGGGGTTTGCCATTGCCATCCTCTGAGGCTGAGAGAGTGTGACTTGCTCAGGGTCACCTTCAAACCCTGGTCTCCAGAATCGCAGTCCAAGGGTCAAACCACTACACCAGGCTGGATACCCAGGTGCAAAATCTGTGTGGCGTAATGGTTTGAATGCCAGACTAAGGACTCTGGAGACCAGGGTTCGAATCCCATTCAGCCATGGAAACCCACTGCGTGACCTTGGGCGAGTCACACACTCTCAGCCACGGAAAAACTTATGATACCACATTAAGGTCGCCGTATGTTGGAAACGACTTGGAAGGCACACAACAATAATGCATGGCTTAAGAAGGAATCCAAAATATAGTTTGGGTTTGCCCAGAAGTATGGCTCGCTGATCTCAGAGAGGGGCTTATGTCCGATTAAAAGCTGTCTGTTCGGATTTGAGAAAGCATCATCCGCCGTTCTCTTCTTCCTCTCTTTTCCATTTCAAGAGCTTTGCCACACAATAAATAATATGCTTTAATGGGAAGAGTTACCCAAGCAAAATGATCCTTTAAAGGATTAAAAGTTGGGTGGGGGGCCTCATCCTTGGGCATTTCGCCTTCTCCGCATGTCTCCGGACAGACTTTTGGGAAAGTTCCTTTTTTTCAGTGACAGCTTCCAAAATGTCTCAGGAGGCAATAAGGCCAGAGGATGCGTTAAGTGGAGATTCTGGGGGTTATAGAACATTTTACATGGAATATATTGAATATATGGAATTTACGTAGGTCTTAATGCACCATTCAGCATTGACTCAGTGGGTGCAATTGCGAGAAAAGAGATTCCACCGAAACATAAGGAAAAACCTCTTGACGGTAAGAGCAGTTCGATGGGGGAATGGACTGCGGGTGCATCCGCACTGCAGAATTAAAGCAGTTTGACACCACCTTCACTGCCATGACTTACCCTCCTGAATCCTGGGATTTGTAGTTTGGCGAGGCACCAGAGCTCTCTGACAGACCAGGCTCAATACCTCACCATACTACAAATCCCAGGATTCTGGAAGATAGAGTCATGGCAGTTAAAAGTGGTGCCAAACTGCTTTAATTCTGAAGTGTGACTAAACCATGCCTAAGAAAATGAATGGACTCTCGTCTTCTTTGGAGGTCTTTAAACAGAGGTTGGATTGGCATCTCCTGGGAGTGCTAGAGTGCTGTATTCCTAGATGTCAGGGGGATATTTTATTATTATTATTATTATTATTATTATTATTATTAATTTACAGCATTTGTATCTCACTTGTTTCCCAAAACTGGGACTCAGAGTAGCTTACAACGTTAAAAGCACAGTACCATTAAAATCCATACCATCCAACTGCCCTAATCTGGCAGGCAAAGTCCCGATTAATCCCTGCCGTCCCACTTTTCAGCTGCTTTTCAAATGTCCCGGTTTCTCTCTCCTCCTCCTCCCATTTCCCTCCTTTGTCCTCAGCTTCAATTCCTGCAAACTGAGCTCAAAGTGTAAATGCAGTTTGCCCTCAGTTAGCCCAGCAGAAGGGAGAGGAGAGGAAAAGACAGAATTTTTTCCCTTCCCAGTCGGCTCAGGCAAAAGCAAACTGCTGCAGCTTCTCCCAGCTTCTCTGTTCTTCCTCATTAATAACTTTTACCATCTTGATCACACTCTGATGCTG